CCTTCGTAGACGAGCATCGGCCGCCTATCAACATTCGCCATCGAACCCTGTCCACCATCTTACAGATAATATGTACTGTACATATTAGTTAGAAGTAATATAAATGTTTAAATTCACACAACTATGAGTTTAAATGGAACTATCTTGGTTCAGTTTAAATATAGTTTGCATCAAGGATTGATTCAAGTTAGACAGTAGTTGAAAGCCAAAATGACACTTAATAGTGGTTTAGTTTTAGTATGAGATATTACAGCTGTATGAGCTCATAATGATCTCAGGAATTGAACTCAAGAAACTAAGACTTTGCGTGGAATTCAGTTCTATGCTTTTCACAAACCTTACTCTTTTTAGTACATATAATCCAGTGTTCAAACTGCTGATAGTTTGTTTCAGGTTTAGTTGAAATAAGTCATGACCAGACAATAGATGAGTGCTTGATGAATTGATACGTTTGATCTTACTGCTTACTTACTTACTTACTTACTTACTTACTTACTTACTTACTTACCTACTCATGCCTGTTACTTCTAACGGAGCATAGGCCGCCGACCACCATTCTCCAACCCACTCTGTTCTGGGCCTTCTTTTCTAGTTCCATCCATTTCTTGTTCATTTTTCCCATATCTATCTCCATTTCCACGCGTAATGTGTTTTTCGGTCTTCCTCTTCTTCTTTGGCTTTGAGGATTCCATGTGAGGGCTTGTCCTACATTCAGGACTTGAATTCAGGATCTTCGACCTCACGTGCGAACACTAGGACGAAACAGCTATTCAATGCTTCCAGGTTTTCAATGGGGGGTCGAGCTTAGATCGACTCATGAATTCAATTGTGAAAATATTTCAATCTTTATAAATCCCTCTATTGATAAAATAAATGTTTTTTTTTATTGTTTATGGTTCAGTTCTATTTTAAGCGAAGAGTCCTTTTTCCGCCAAAAAGAGAACTCTCCTTATTTTATATCCTAATGAATATACTCCATTTACCTGAATTCTATAAAGCAAACTATTAAGTAATAATATATGATGGAGAATATTTGTAGCTCAAGTTGATGATTTTGATGCAGTTTTGTTCACTGAATTGGATGATTTAATCGTGGAGATTTCATCGTTCTTCTGAACGACATCATCAGCACACTTCACTTTTATCTCAAGTTTGTTCTGATGATCATCTTGATGAACCTGATACTTGTTAGTGGATTACATCTATTTCATGTCATCCAGCTTTACAATCAGAGATACTACCTATTCTGGGATCGACTGATCGTTTTTAAAACCGAGGTATATTTTTAATCAATTAATCAGTGAGTAATGGTAAATGAAATTAGATCAGCACTGAGAAAGATTTATCATACATGACATCAGTGATTGGTTAATTGCAATTATATCTACATGTACAACTCAAGAATTTTAATCGTAGATTGATTAAATTTAGACATTAACACCGTTAGATGTAGGCTCAATGTTTTAAAGTGTAGTGTTCGCGCATGAGACTAAAGGTCCTAGGTTTGATTCTCGCGTGCATGATCATGGATGTGCACTTCTGAGGAGTCCCATACTACGGCAAAACCGGCGGCCCAGCACTTCCAAGTTTACAATCGCGGTCTAACGTTGATTGGTTCATGACTTCAATGAGAACTTTTCTTTGATGAACAATGTACACTAGAATTAGTTGTAATCATTAATAAGATAGTTTCTAGGTTGTTGAAGTGAATTTACAAACTGAAATAAATTAGGGAGAGTATAATTTATAGATGATCTTTGAATGAGTTTTAAGTGAACTTGAGCAATATTAGTCCATTAGAAGATAGTATAAAGTAGAAATATATGATACAAAACCAAAGAAATAAAGTGGATACACTTCTTTTATATGATTTAAAAACTTTTCAACGTGTGAAAGAAGTTCAGAGGTTGTAAAATCGTATTGTACATGGTAGGTGAAATAATCCATATGGTTTCATAATAATCCTTCTCTGACGCTATGATATAGTTGCAAAAACTCTTTCAGCCTTGACCACACAGATTCAATATTACTTGTGTGCAATCCGGTTGTTGGGTCGACAAAATGCCACTTGTGGATAACAACATGATGCACGTAACTAAGTCTATGTAGAAATCTGTATGCTCTTCAATCACCCTTGTTACTAGTGCTTTTATTATCCAGTTAGCAACAATCATTATACTTTGCCTTGGTTTCAATCTGGATTGAGAGAAAATAGTTCCTATTCTAGGAGACTTCTCCCTCCAACATATATTATATCGAAAGACAACATCATCACAGTAGTTTGAATAAGGTCCACAAGCCATTTGATTACCTCAATCGCACATACAAAAACTTCTTAGTAATCCCATTTCTTGTAACCACTTAATTATCACGTTTTCTATAAAATCCTCTGTGAACCGATCATACCTAAGCGTCAAGCCATGACCTTACAATCCATCAAACACTTCTAATTGTCTCGTCCTTAAATTATAATCTCACCAATAAATTCATATGAACTATTCGACTATAAACATATTTCTTTCAACAGTTGAAATTATGAGTCAATTGAAGCTAGACCACCATGAAAAACCTGGAAACACTGGACAACCATTTCGTCCTATTGTAGAATTCTTAAGCAGTGCTCATCCACGATCTTTCATGATTCATATTTATTGATAAGAAGTAGTTCTATTGAACTTTTTTTCATGTAAGAAAAAGTTTGATAGAACACGCATTAAAGAAAAGAACCAAGTGAATCACAAGGCAAGTTCTCACTTGGAATCCTCAATGTCAGAGAAGAAGAGGTAAATCAAAGAACATATTATGCCGAGAAATGGAGACAGACATGAGAAGAATGAACAACAATTAGATAGAAACAGAAAGGTAGACCCAGGACAGAATGGGTTGTAGAATGCTGATCGGCAGCCCATTCTCCTTTGAGGGTAACAAGCTTAAGTAAGTAAGTAAGTAAGTAAGTGAGTAAGTAAGTCAGTAATTAAGTAAGTAAGTAAGTAAGTAGGTAAGTAAGTAAGTAAGTAAGTAAGTGAGTAATCAAGTAAGTAAGTAAGTAAGTGAGTAAGTAGGTAAGTAAGTAAGTAAGTAAGTAAGTACGTAAGTAAGTAAGTAAGTAAGTAAGTAAGTAAGTAAGTAAGTAAGTAAGTAAGTAAGTAAGTAAGTAAGTAAGTAAGTAAGTAAGTAAGTAAGTAAGTAAGTAAGTAAGTAAGTAAGTAAGTAAGTAAGTAAGTAAGTAGGTAAGTAAGTAAGTAAGTAAGCAAGTGAGTAATCAAGTAAGTAAGTAAGTAAGTGAGTAAGTAGGTAAGTAAGTAAGTAAGTACGTAAGTAAGTAAGTAAGTAAGTAAGTAAGTAAGTAAGTAGGTAAGTAAGTAAGTAAGTAAGTAAGTAAAGAAGGAAAGAAGGAAGGAAGGAAGGAAAACGTTTGTTTTATTCAAATACTGTATCCCTTTTCGGTTATTATTATTTTGACTGTCTCTCTGTCTCCCTCTCTGTCTCCCTCTCGATCACACACACACACACTCTCTCTCTCTCTCTCTGTGTGTGTGTGTCTCCTGTTCACAAATCTACCACATACATCTGGTCTTAATATTTCAATACACAAATGAAAATAGCACTCAGTAAATGAGAGAGAGAGAAAAACAAAAACGACAAACAATTTTATGCATTTTGACAGATCATTATAAAATTTTTCTCATTCGATTGTTGTTGTTGTTGTTGTTGTTGTGATTGTGGTTGATCTCCTTCTTTTTTTTTTCTTTTTTCTTTCTTTTTCTTTCTTTTGTATAATTGAATTTAAAAAATAGTTTGTAAACTTTGTCAGATACAAACATGTATCCAATGCATGTTACTATACGCATTTACGTTACGTAAATAATTAATGAGTCTTTAAAAATGGTGTATAACTGTATAACAACTGTTATATCTATATCTATATCTATATCTATATGTTTGTACTTATGGTTGAAGTTTTTCTGGCGAATTTTGTTCTTACTATGTTAGATACACAGTTAGGTAACTTATCTTGTAAGTTTGAATGTTTAACTATGAAAACAATGAAGTACATTTTATAAGAATGGAGGGAGATAGTAAAGGGGGGGAATGTAAAGGTTGCAGTAATCGATGTAAGCTAGAGCACTATTGAAAACTTGGAATTACTAGTAATAGTACTAATTCTAGGATAGAGAAACTGTGATCAGTAGAGTCCAATCAGTGTAGAGTGTAGACAATGAATGAAGGGTTGTACAAGATCATGGATCAATTAAAATTAGACATTAATTAGACATCGATGTCTGGATGTTAAGCGTTTGTGCATGAGATTGAACCTCCTGGATTCCAGACCCTTAAATGAGGTATCTTGGACATAGATTTCTGAGCAGTCCCATATTTAGACGAAATGTCCGTCCAAGGCTTTCAGTTTTTTAATGGTGGTCCCATGAATCCGACTATTATAAACTGTATTTTAATTATGGTTTCATCGTGGTAATAGTAATAATAATAGTAGTGTGGTGAACAAGAAAACCTGTAGCGACAACCATATGTATCACAGGATCTCTTGGTAAAATCTGAGAATCACACAGTAAATACTTCATTTGCATAATATCCATCAATCGTTTCAGAATTCATTGTTCTTTCATTTCTACACCAATCATTTTATATTCTGTTACCAGCTATTTCACTTTCGATTGATGATATATACTACTTATATCTATCGACATCAGTAGTACACATCATAGTAGTAGTAATATGAGTAGTGAAATAGGACTATACATAACTATAGATCTTAATAAGCAAAGATGGATAGTGGCTAGCAGTGGAATCCAGGACGCGCGTTTCGTCCTATGTACAACTCGTCAGCTAGATGTAATGTACACATTATAGAAACATCTAACATTATAATAATGATAAACACTTCATACAATATCATATAGTATTCAACATAATACACAATAAAAGCAAATCCATTAGTGAGTGCCAGTTTATAAATAAATTTGTTATTTTTTTTTCTTCTCTCACATCATTTTACAGATGAATAGTTAACCATTCAGATTGAATTTAGTTTTAAGTATGTCGGTCTATCGCCCCGGAAACAATCTCTCTCTCTCTCTCTCTCTCTCTCTCCATATATATTTATAGGTTCCATTCTGTATTATTCATATTTAGATTAATAGACTGTCATAAATATATATTATTTCTTTCTATCGTTTATTTCTATTTCTTCCCTGTTGTTGTCACATCTAAATGTAAACCCAACTATAACTATTCGTGGTGTGTATAAATAAACATACACACATATGGATAAAGCTTAACGATTTCATCCCTTGTAACATTCTATAAACTCAGGTAATATTAATGTATATTCTGTTGATTATGGTTTGCAAGTAGTATAGATCTATGTATGGATGTATGTATGGATGTATGTATGTATGTATGTGGGTATGTGGGCAAGTACTTATTTAGAAGGATTTGTTATCTGTGAAACAATCCTTAGAATTTATTTATTTATTTTTTGTTGTTTTGGAAGTTCAAATGTAACAGACATATTATCAATGTATAAGACAACAGACATAGATACAAATAGATATTCTCCCCCCTCCCTTGTTTTTTTTTTTTTGGTTTTAGTCACCATTACCATCACCAACATCATCTGCATCATTTTCAATTTTAATAATAATAATAATAACTTATACAATCATTATATGATAACAGTATCCTGATGATCATTGATATCCAATAGAGATCATTATTCTTATTCATCTAAATCATATATGATCATGATTTAGGATTTAACTACACTGACCATGAATAATGATGATAATGATGATGATGATTATTCATTCATTTATTCATTAAAACATTCGATATTGAATTTATTGAATCTCAATTTCACATGGATACTTTTTCTTTTTGTTTATGGAATTTAAAAAAAAATTTTTTTTCCACTACTACTAGTACCACCAACATCACCATCACCATCACCCACCCTACCCCACCCCCAATGAATTCTTCAAATCATTATTATGTAAGTAAGTGAATGGAATGTTTGTTTGCTTTTTTTTAAGAAAGAAAACAATCACTGAACCTCCCCCATTTTTTTTTCTTTAATTTAATACTCATTCATTAATGAATGAAATTAGACATTAACACTGTTGGATACTGGGTAGTTCAGTAGTCTAGAGGTTAAGTATTCATGTGCGAGATCGATAGGTCCTGGATTTGAATTCTGTGAATTGGATTGTGAATGTGCACTGATGAGGAGTTATATATTAAGACGAAACAGTTAAAAAAAAACTGTTGAAAACCTTTTAGAGTTAAGTTATCATTTCATTGATGATTTGTATCTATAATTAAGTTTTAAATAATGTAATATAGAGAATTTGGGATTTTTTCAATGAATATGGTTTATATATTTGATATGAATTATGTTTTTGATTGAGATCATGAACCGATCGATGTTAGATCACCGTTGAAAACTTGAAAGAAATGGATAGTCGTTCTGTTCTATCATAGGACTCCTCAACAATGCACATCCACGATCCCACTTGCAGGATTCGGTCTCACGTGTGAATGCTTAATCTCTAGACCACTAAGACGGCATTCAATAGTGTTAATGTTTAATCTCAATAAATTCACGCAATTGATCGTCCAATGCTTTTAGGTTATCAATGGTAGTCTAACATCAATCCGTTCATGATCTCAATCATAAACTTAATTATCTCCACAAACCCATACTGATAAAACGGAATTATGCTGTAATAATTATATTATTATTAATGGCTTTATTCAATATTATATTTCTGGTACAATTTGAGAATTCCCAGGTCAAAGTATGTCACTAAGTTACCCTTTTCTTATTTCTTGATCGATTCCAGTTGTATCTCCCATTGTACTCTCTCAGTTTATCTATGTATGAGGCAGTTAGATCTAGTTGAGAAAATCAAGTATCTACCCGCCTGCTGTTTATCATATACGAAACCTGTGCGATCTTTGATTAGTATTGTTATATTCAATTAAACCACAATATCGTATTATCAGTAGTATCTTATGCTATCCGTGTGGTATTATTATTATTAATGACTTTATTCAATATTATATTTCTAGTACAATGTAGAATTCCCAGGCCAAAATATGTCACCAAGCTACCGTTTCTTACTTCTTGATCAATCTTGACGACACATACTGAAATCTTGTAGTGATACTGAGTAATCGTCTTGTAAATCATTTAACCAGGATTGGTGAATTGTGATTACGCAATAATTACGATACATGTTTAAACTTAATAGGAATCGAAGATAGTCCACCTTGCTAATAAGTGATTGGCAGTTAGATGTTAACAGTTCAGGAATCATCCATCATCTGTACAATGTTCATTCTTCTCAATGCATATTGACAGCCATGATGACATCTCTGATTGGGCTCTTTTGTAAGTTGTACACCGGAAGGTCGTAAACTTTTCACAAACACATCTGAATAGGTTATGTGATTAATAGACATCATGATGTGTTAATCAAACATAATAACAGTTAGCTTGTTGAAGTGTTTAGATGACAAGAATAGGTAACTCAGTTATTCAAGCAGGTTGCCAGTTGAAACTCTAAATTAATATATCACAACTCTCAACCTAGTTGAGTTGCAATAGATGATAGATGAATGACAATATGATCTAGAAGAAAAATTTCATAAATAAAAATGATTGTGTAAGGAACTAATGGTTCTCTGCTCTTGGTTCTTTGTTTTTCACTCCGTCGCCAATTGTTATAACTAGTGCGTTGTGTCCTTATTAATATATAATGTAATGATACCGCCAATTAAACGACAGTGAATTATCGACCGGATCAATAATGCATAAACCCGTACGAGCAGTTTACAGTCTGTATCGGTCCTGTTTCCCACCTATCCAAACCTGTTAAATCCAAAACATCAATCTCAGCCTCCACGATATGAATCATTTATTTCAAACATACTGGGTTTATATACCAACCAGACAGTCCACATTGTACCAATAAAATAGCAAACAACATTTGTATAAGATCTAGCCAAATGTGGCTGTGAATGTGGAAGGTAGTAATTGATAGACTGGGCATAACTCAAAAACATCATGTCGTATAATAATAGTCTATGGGTCAAAATAAAGCTTGGAATAAGAGGAATATGAATAGTTTAGTTACTTAACAATTAAACAATAAAAATATACGTATAACATTGCTGAATAAATGGATCCCAACAGTTACCATTCATTATGCTTATCGATATACACATTCCATCCCCGTCGCTGGGATCTTCAGAAACAAAGTGAATGTGTTATATCCCCGGTTGATAATTCTCTGTTGTTTAATTGGCGGTATCATTACATTACACATTAATAATGACACAGGGCACTAGTTATGACAATTGGAGACGAGGTGAAAAACAAAGAACCAAGGATACAAAACCACAAGTTATCACAAGTATAATATGAAGTATAGTAATACTATATAATTTTGATTGATTATAATTCCTTTATATTAGGTGATATTTGACACTTGGTAACCTAACTAGTAAATGTCAGTAAAATCAATATATATCGATGAGTTTGATTTGATTTAAGGGTGGATATGTTTTTCAAAGGCCAAATAAATTTTCATTTATTATCAGATCTGAGTACCCCTATCATTGACATTTTCAATAGTCTCTAGGTATATTGTATCCATCAATTTAGATTGATGTATATTAAAGAGTTATTTTTAGTCAAGAAAAAAACTACATATCAATCAGTAGAATGTATTCACAACGACCTACCTACTTCGAATAAATTCAATGTAGTACATCCTAAAATCCAGGATAGAAACACAAATATAATAAATTTTATATTATAAATTGATCGATAGATCCTGGGTTTGAATCTCACGAGGGTAGTGGTGGTGGTTCGTAGATATGTACTTTTGAAGAGTCTTATATTAAGATGATACAGCTGTCTAATGCTTCCAGATTTCCCATAGTGATAATATCCACAAACCTCCCCCCTTCCACTTTCTGATTAAAATAAAAGGAAACACTCTGTTTACCAACATTTACTAACTAGATAAAAGCAATAAAAAAAAACAACATAATTCAACTGTACTGGGTATGATATCAATAACAAACATCACAAATGTTATGTATCATTCAAGTCCCTGACTTTGTTTTCTATACCGTGTTTTATCTATTCAAGTATCTATTTCCGTAATAAACTTATTACTATTAAGAGTATTATTAACGATCGATTATCAATACATTAATGTACTAACACCATTTCAACTTGAGTATAATTATTTATTTACTTATCCTCAATAGTGTATAGGCCATTGATCCACATTCTCTAAATCATTCTATCCTAGACTTTCTTTTCTAGTTCTATCCCATTATTGTTCATTCTTTACATGTTTGTCTATTTCTTGACGTAATGTATTCTTTGGTGTTCCTTTTGTTCTTTGACATTGAATATTCCAAGTAATGATTTGCCTTGTGATATAGTTGGGGTATTTTCCTTAATGTGTGTTTTATCCCATTCTAGCACTGTTTTCTTAATAATTTCTTCCTTCATTAGAATCTGATTTGTTCTCTCTCTCACATACAGTAGGTTATTTTTGATATTGTCTGATCAATTTCAATACAATGAACAAGACTAATTCTATCCTCTTATTTTGTTTAAACGCTTTGTTTATGGAGACTCTAGTAGTAAAACAAATTTACGTTCAAATCAATTCAGTTAAATATTGATTCAGTGATTATTAATTTCAAAGTTTTTGATTGAGATCATGAATACATCAATGTTAGACCAGGATTGAAGAACTGAAATCCATGGACAACCATTTCATTCAAATATAAGACTCCTTGACAGTGCAGATTCACTATATCGTACATGGGATATGAACCTAGGAACTTTGATCTTGCCGTTGGATTTCGGCTCAGTGGTTTAGAGCTTAAGTGTTCATGTGCAAGACCGTAGATGATTGATTCGAGTGCCATGTACAGGATCGTGAATGCGCATTGCTGACGAGTCCCATACTAGGAAGAAACGGTCATCCAGGTCTTCCAGGTTTTTAATCATCGTCTAACATTGATTGGTTCATAATCTCAATCAAAACTCAATATTCTCAACAACCCTATGCTGATAATTATAATTTGATTTATAATGGTTTGGATGACAGATTCTTGATATTCCGACTAAAATTTGATCACTCTTGCTTGCCCACTGTTCGTTTCATGGGGATTGCCTCGACGTAAACATTGTGACACAAGCCAATGTAGAGTAGACGAAATGTAGCTACTAATGGAATACAGAATGAACGTGTCATGTTTTATAGAAGTAGTCAGTTGAATGTAACTCCTTATTAAGATTCGATTATATAGTCTCTGTCACTTCAAATGCTAGTGTGTTATCTTCTGACCTGTTGAGTCCAGATGGAGATTCACTTGTGTTATCGAAGTGAAAGGAACTGATTCGAATCCCGATGTGAATATCATTTATGAGATTCAGATACATCTAGCTAACAAGTTCCAAGTAGGACGAAATGACATGTGTCCTGAAATCCACTTCTAGTCACATTCCATCTATTTTATATAAACATATCTAATGGGATATATTCATTTGAACTTATCGATGTTTTATGTAGAATATGTTGGCTTTGTTAGTTAAATATTGATTGTAGATCACATTTAATCAATGTTCAATAACCTCAAATGTGGTACAGAATTGTATTGGCTCACATAATACACAATTGATTATGGTAAAGTGAATGGGGTAAGGAGATTAATATCAGAAAAAATAAAGTGATTGAACGTTTATTGAGAGCCGAACCAAGAATCATGCATTAGGAAGTACACTTCAGAACCATTATCAAACTAAAATAGATTAGGATATTAAATCAATCAGACTAGTAGAATCACACACTAAAACTCGATCGATGGAATTCAATCACTAATTACTCAGTAATTGATTAGTGTAAGGAAGTGAGGTGTGCAAAAGCTTTCGACTATTTGAATAAGTCATTGTCGACCTCC